TTCCCAAACATGTGGAGCGGTTGGTCATGTGGCAGTTCCTGCAGTGGTGGCCCCAGGAGGGGACAGAGCTGGTTTCTCATCCCTTCCCGGCAGAGCTGGATGTGGCCCAACTCACCATCATGGGCCTCGCCACCATCATGACGCTGCTGTCGGTTGCGATCTTCGTGGAAGAGGTTTTCTACCTCACCCGCAAGATCCGCTGCCCCATCAAGATGAAGACCCTCTGCTGGAGCAGCTCAGCCCCTACGGTGAGCTGAGGGTGAGGGTGGTGGGGGCCAGGGCCACCCAAGGGCTGCCAGCCCACAGGAGTGCGGAGCAGCAACGTGCCAAGCTTGTGTCTCCCCCAGGTTGTGTCTGTGGTCAGCTGCTTCGGGCTGTGGATCCCACGCTCGATGGCTACCACAGCGTGAGTATCACCTACCCCTGGGGCAGTGGCACCAGGGAGCCCACAGGGCCTGACCTGCCTTCCTCCTCCTCCTCCACAGATACTTTGCTGTCTGCTTCTACCTCCTGATGCTGGTCATGGTGGAGGGCTTTGGGGGGAAGGAGGCAGTGCTCAGCACCCTGAAGGGTGTGCCCATGGTTATCAGCACCGGGCCCTGTTGCTGCTGCTGCCCCTGCCTGCCCCAGATCACCATGAGCAGGTGAGACAAAGCTGGGGTAACCCCCTGCCCCTGGGGAGGGCTTTCACCCCCTGCTTCTGATGGGGTGAAAGAGAAGCCCCTGGGCAAGGACTTGGGGACCTCAGGGTGCCAATGGTCTCTCTTGCTGTGTCAGGAGAAAGCTTAAGCTGCTGATGCTAGGGACTTTCCAGTACGCCTTCTGCAGGGCACTTGGTGTCTTCCTGGGGCTGGTCCTGGCCACTGATGGGAACTACAACCCTGCTGACGTGAGTGCCAGGGCACAGGGATGGGCAGGGTGACATCCTGGACTGGGACTTTCCACCAGCCCTTGCCTTGCCCAGCAGCTCTTTCAGCCCAGGTGTGTTTCTGTGTGTCCCCCCTAGATTTCAGCAGAGAGCGTGGCCCTTTGGATCAACACTGTGGTGGGTGCCTCCACCCTCTTTGGGCTGTGGGCCCTGGGCATCCTCTTCCGGCAGGCCCGGCTGCACCTGACCGAGCAGAACATCAAGGCCAAGTTTGCCTGCTTCCAGGTGAGCCCCCATCCTGCCTGGCTCCCGCAAGGCAAGGGGCTCCAACAGCATGAACGGGATGAGTGGGAGATGGGGCAGGCTGTTGGAGAGTGGGGAAAGTGAAGGGCAGGAGCCTGGCAGTGGTGCAGCCCACACCACCTTGAATGTTGGTGGTTGTAGATCCTCCTCCTCCTGACGGCACTGCAGCCTGCCATCTTCAGCATCCTGGCCAACAGTGGTGGCATTGCCTGCTCACCGCCCTTCTCCTCCAAGGCCAGGTCACAGCGTAAGTCAGGAGATGGGGGAAGCAGCGGTACATACTCCTGGCTGAGCCCCTCCATTGCACATGGGGAATGGGCATGGTGGATGAAGACAGCTTCAAATAATCCCTCTCATTTTCCAGAGATGAATGCGCAGCTGCTGATCCCGCAAACCTTCATCTTGGCAGTTGTGACACGGATATACTACCGCAAACAGGATGACAAGCCGGGCTACCAGCCTGTCAGCTTCGTACCCACAGGCACCAACACCAAGGCATGAGCATGAGAGAGCAACTGGGGTGCTAAGGGGAAGAGTGAGGTGAGGGGCTGTTCTGCCCTATACAGCATCTGCTCCTCCTCTGACCCTGGGGAGCTACTGGCAGCAGAGGAGGCAGAGGGGAAAAGAGGATCTTGGCATGGGGTAAAAGGGTCTGGAACCTGAAAGCCATGAGCCAAAGGGATCCATGAAGCCACCTTCAGCCTGGAGGGCTCTTATCTGGCACTGAATAAAGATAAATTTGTACCTGAGGCTTGTGTTGGTAACTGGGCTCAGACTGTCTCCTGCCCAGGCTGGGTGGGAGATGACTCCATGCAGGGAGAAGAAGATGGAGCCCCAGCCAGCACAGTCATGGCATGGGGCTGTCACAGCATGTTCAACACCTGGCTGTAACACTGACCCCTGGGTGCTGCTCGCTGGGGTCCAAGGCAATGCCAGGGCAGCAGCATTTCCTCCTGAGATTTTTGGTTGCGTTGGGCCTGTCCCTGGGGCATGTTCCCCAGAGCAGTAGCTGTTCCTGAGAGCACAGTGGAAGCATCTACATCTGCCAGCCTGGGGCTAGGCAAAGAGGCCTCGAAGCACCTTTGTAACACAAGCAATTAGTTAATGCTGCCTTAACCAGCCTTGCCCAGAATATGCTCTGGTAGCAGTATCTGCTCTACATTTAAAACAGAGGTGGGGGTGGATATCAGGAGGAATGATGGCTTGCAGAAACCACTAGGTAATCTTCTGATCCCCAGTGAAGCATCTTCTCAAACCACTGCTTAAGATGGCAACTCAGGAGGCCACAACAGGAGCTGGCTGTGTTAGGATGGCAGAAGGGATCTAGCACATGAGTAAAATGACTTTACATTTATTTAGCTAAACATCAAAGCCAAACATCAACTCCAGAACAAGCCAGTAAGACAAATAGTGGGCAGAGGCCCATACAGAGATACCACCACAGCAAACATTGACTGGGAAGAACCAGCTTAAAGCAACTGCTGCGGCGGGACTGAGGTGACAGCAGGACTGGGTGATACAGCATGGCTGGAGACGGGCAGCAGATGCCAGATCATCAGTGCTAAGACCAGAGCCTGCTGCAGGGCACCACCAAAGCTTCCCCTGCCCTGCACCCTGGTGTCTTCCCACTGTAATACCTCTGGCCAGAGCAACCCATTGGGGAAGCAGTCAGCCAAAGCCCCCAGCTTTTATTTCATTGATTCATTCTGGGGAAAAAGCAAGTTTTCTGTCCCATGAGAAGGGGCAAAAAAAAGTGACTCAGAGCTTTTTGCAGGTGGCTGTGTTCAAAGTGAAACTGCTCAGCTGTAAGATGTGCTGGTGTTTCATTATGAGATTGCCAAACTTGACAGCCTCCTGGCAACAGTATATGGCCTTTACTAACAAGACTTTCTAGGCATCAGCAGAAGCGCTGAGACCCAGCAATCTCCTGGCTTTACCAAGAAACAACACCCAGGCAAGAGCAAAATATAGGACTGTTTCCCTCAATCAGACAACCAGACCCAGCTCCTTACTTGTGGCAAGTAGGAAACCCAACCCACACCTTTACATCAGGGAGCCCTTGGTAGTGAGAAACTCACCCTGAGGACCAGGTGCAAGACATGGGGTCAATCCCACCAAAATCACTGCTACTGCCAAGTGTATTTGGTGCTCTAGCACCTGCCTCTGTCTGCAAGAACCAGACTGCACAATAAAGTCCTCCATAAAATGCACAAAATCATTTCAGTACAAGTGTGTGCCATACTTTTCCCAAGACATTAAAGACCTTCTCCTACAATTCTAAGCAATATGCTGTTAAAGTGCCATGCTCTTTATTTCTTGCTTCTACCAGCATCCTTGGCACCTTCCAGCTTTGCCCTGCTGCTCTTTGCCATCAGAAAATTCTCTCCCAGGGGCTGGTTGCTGGTGCCAGCAGCCTTACTGCCACATCTACAGAGGAAGCGAGGTAGGGCTGTCTTGCAGGAGTCAACAACTCTGGGTTTAGCAGCATCAAACTCAACACATTCTTCATTGCATGCTAGTAAAGTTTTATTTTTCCACCACTCTACCTCTTAACTCCACACTCAGTTCCAGCATGTGTCTTCCAGATGCTTCTTCTGAAGAGTGGGATGGGTTAGGGGTGTGCAGGACAGCCCCAGAGAAGCTGCACTGGGTACATCTATGGATAACAAGATATTCCTGGAGAACTTGACTCACCTGTTTTGCCCAAAGATCAAGCTCTGTCCTGTTCCTCATAGGACAGGGCAGTGGTGAAGATGAGGCTGGTCCAGCAATCCATATGGAAACAAAAATACAAAGGGGGGAAAAAAAAAAAAAAAAAGAAAAAGAAGACTAATCTGGGATTTGAGTTTCCAATTTAATTTAAGTGCAAGGAGGAAGCAGGGATTATTGGTTACAAGAAACAGCTCTGTTATTTCAAGCTACATGTAAAACCATAGCTGGCTTCTTACCAAGTACCCCAGGTTTTGCACAGAGACTGAGAAATACATTAAGGTCTCTGCAGAACAAATCACCATCCAATACACCATTGTTATCCGAATTTACAGAACACTGTTGCATAACTCATGTTTAAAACAGTAGTAAGGCTCTAGAGCAGCTTGGCCTTTGTGATCTGGTTTGGGAAAGCAATCCAACACCCATACTGAGGGAAGGGTGAGGATGGGAAGGTGGGGAAGATGAGGGAAGATAGAATGTGGGTGATATAAAGTAAGTGCTCTACCACTCAAACTAGGGGATTCACAACTGGCTTGTGCCAAGTGGCAATTATTTGCTCCTTATAGCAAAAAAATTCATAGTAGCCAACCACGCTCCCAGAGCTGTACGCATCCCTGCTGAGAGAAGTCTAAAGTGGCAGATGAATAATCCCCATACCAGCTCTGGCCTCAACAGAAGCACAGAGTCTCTAACAAGCCCCCTGGGCAGCATGACAAAGGATCAGCTAGATGAAAGCTGGAAAGAAGCAGCAGCCTGCTCTTACCACAGGGCCACTGCATCCGTGGAAGCATCGCACTGTGCAGAGTCTGTGGCAGCACTTGGTGATTTGCCTACTTGCACCCACTGCTCCGCAAGCCCTGAATCCCACTCGGAAGATCTCTCTGCAGTTATTGCTGACTGGCTCTGAGCCGTCCTCTGCTCCCAGCATTGCAGGATACAGGCAACTCTGCCCAGCAGCTCCACCCAGAGACAATGGATATCACAGGCAAATCCGAACAGAAAAGGAAGCAGGAGCTTGGCAGCTACATGACAGCAAGTCCAGTCCCTCCAGTGCTTGCTGCAGGGACAGAGTACACTGACCTGCTCTGTGCACAGGCATGCAGCACGGGGAGGGCAGCTGCCCACAGGGAGCCACAGGCCACGAAGCTCAGTGTTTATTACAGACGTGACAGCAGGCATAACCTGGACCATGGTTTCAAATGAGCAGATTACATATTTAAAATGTTAATGCAGCTCTCTGACGCTCCTTCTGGCCTTCCTCAAGGAGCAGAATAAGCAGGCACTGATTCGTGAATTTATTACGCAAGCCAGGTAACAGTCACACGGGACTGGGACCCTTCACTGGGGTAAAATGTGCCCTTCATCTGTCCAGCTGCACACACCAACACAGGCAGCAAGCTGGCTGTACGAATTCACGTTCTGTCGTTACAGCAGCGACTTCACGGCACCAGTGTAAAGAACTGCTCCAGCCCTTACAGCACAGCAACTGAAACACAAGCACGCACAGAGCACAGTCTTGAGGCACCGTTTGGACAGAGAGTAAAACTTATTACACACCAGAGACTGGGACAAGGAACTTCTCAAAGGAGTACACATATTTGTTTGCTGCCTGGGCTCTCACACACCTGAGGAAACACGCAGACAGCAAGTGCCCTGAAGCAAAAATTCATTCTCTTTCCAACAGCAACTGAGGGCTGAATTTTAGCTCAAGAGTTAGCAGTCTTCCTAAGATTAGCTGAAAAGGCCTTTCCCCTGCAGCCCTGTACAATTTGGAGCTGTGAATGCTGCATGCTTATGGGGTGTGTGACTCTACAATGCTGTATGTTCCTCCAGGGTGTAACTCCTGTGTGCTAAGCTGGTAGTCCCCTACTCAGCACTACATCCTCATTGTGACATGCTGGGAAGCTCAGCTAAGGGGCAGATGAGCAATACAGCATCTGCTAGACAGATGCCTATGGGCTCCAGTGCAGCAGAAATATCTCCATTTCCTAGAGGCCTCTTTACACCACCGCCTCCTGCATGCTCTCAAGGTCATGCTGGTTGAGAAAGCGAGGGGTCTTTCATTTGGCAGTGGCACAGATACTGCCTTGGGGTGGGGGGAATAAGACAGAGGAACTGAAGGAAAGAAGAGACACATGGGTCTTCCCACTCTCCCTTCTTGCCTGGAGGTTTAACAAGGGAAAAGAAACCAAAACAAAAGCCACGCTTGAGTGCTATTCTTTGCGCTTTAAAAGTATTTTCTAAAATATAAAAATGATCTTCAACCTGGAAACCACTAGAATGTAAACAATAAAAAGGGGAGATGGGGAGGAGAAGGGACAGGAGGTTTGAATGTGCTTCCAGGCAGCAGCCCTTGCTAAGAGCAACAGGTGCCTCCAGTGTCCTGTGCTCACCGTCAGCCCTGTTCCTATGGCTCTCTTGCTCATTTAGAGTTCCCCAGTGGGTTCAGACTTAGGATGTGGCGGTTAGCGGTTCACAGCAAATCCCGGCTGGTAGCTTAATCCTCTTCATCCTCACTGATGTCATAGGTGACTGCAGACTCGTTCCTGGAGCGGCTGGCTGGCGAGGAGGGAGGAGTCTTGGTTGAAAAGGGCCAGCGGAATGAGGGAGATGGGGAGCGGTCGTGTGTGGGGCTACTGCTGGGACTCTGCTTTGGGCTGATGGCCTGCAGCATCCGGCCCTTGCCCTCCTTCAGCATGTGTTTCTAGTGATGGAAGTGGGGAGACAGTTAGCATGGCTCAAACAGCAATGGAAATGGATGCTAACTACAGCTTGTGCAGCATTTTGGG